TTTACAGTTTTTCAATGTTATTGTATTTTATTACAAGAAAAATTATCCATTTTATCTTGAAGGATTTGTTTTTCTTCGTATCTATACTTATCTAACCGCATGGCCACCGTTTCTTCCGCTTCGATCTCTCTAAATTCGATTTACGCGATTTTCTTATCCTCTTTCCGCGATCTCCACACTCGAGACAAATTCACCGAATAACGGGCTAAAGGAGTAGAAAACACGTACAACAGGGTGAAGGTAAGAATAAAAGGAACAAAGTCAAAGAAAACAAGGAGATAAAGCGATTGTAGGGAAAAGGGGATTCGAAGAATGGGGAAGCAAACGATATTCGTTGAAATACTCTTTTCGTGAGCTACTTTTTCCAATAAAAGTTTCTTTCCTCGAGTGTGCTGTTAGAAGATCGATCCACCGATATCTTTGTACGGTACAAATTTGTCTATAGAACCGAATATTAAATACAGTGGATGATCAAATTATTTTATCCACTGTATAAAGAAAAAAAAAATAGATCTTTTATCTTTTAGAAGATATAAACACCGACACTAAATCCCCATAAATTTTTTCTTCCCACAACGAATAACTGTTCCTCACAGCAACCTAGGTATTTGATAATAGATGTGTGTGTCTGTATATGAAGGGGTATCCGGCCAAGAGACATCTCTCTGTCAGTAATCGATCACTCGCAGTGTTATATCAAAATTTGCAAGTGAAACTCAGCCTGGTAACACTGTACGTTGTTTGATCTTGGCGTTTGTCCGCTTTGGCAATGAATACCAGATAGGTACACAGTTCCTGTTTGGAAATATCGTATTGTTCCGAACGTTGCAGTCCCGGGTTTTGTTATTGAGATGTTGAATATCGTTTTAAATTTTAAATTCTGATATTCTGGTTGCGAGTTCTAAATCTTCACCTGTACATTTCAAGGATCGAATTCGGACAGGAAGTATCTGATTGGAATTTAAATTTTTACGATGAAAATGGAGTTTCAGATTTCGAGCATTCGTATTTAATAAAAATATAATAAAATTTCTTATCAGTGGATTGTCAGGGAGGGGGTTGTAGGAATGGAAATATTTCATATTCTGGAATATTTAATGTATTTCAAAATGACATACATCAAATATAATACATTCTCGCGTAACAGACTGTAAACTTGGATTTTTAGTACTTTGGTGGTACGTCCCGTCATTTTGTCCAGTCGGTGTGTGTGTACGGTGCATTAAGCGCGAGTCTCATAAAGAGACATAGCCGTACACGTGTAGCATCCTTATACAAATCTGGCGCCGTTTCCGGCGAGGAAAGAGTAGCCGGATATTACTTCCATCCGAGCCCTCGTCTTGTCACGGCAACGACTTTTGTTTCTGACGGGGCCAGTCTCATCGCCATCGTGCTCGGCTTGGCTCCACTCCATCAACCTTTTCTTTTAGAGGGCCAAGCCTGATGCAGGTTCCTCCGAGAAAATTTCTTCGTTGAAAATGAGGGAAATACGTTTGGGAGGTGAAACGTCGTCGAAACATTGGATCAATATCGTGTGACTCTGAAACGAAACTCGTTTAGAATAATTTTGGACATGTTTAATAAATAAGAATAATATCAATCGTGCATTGAAGATTCGCGAATGAAAGGGTGGAACGTTGAATATATAAAGGCAAATATTCCCTCCTAATTATTTGCAAGGAATGTTTAATTAGGAGTAATTATTGTCTCAAGGGATGCCGAAGTTTGTTAGTTACTTTGTACATGCTGTATGATATTGGTGTGCAAACATTTTGAGGGATTATTGAAGCTCACTGCCGCATATTAACTCTGTGATTAAACCGGGGATGGAAATACTGAGCGTGTATTAACTGTTTCAGACGTATCGGGGAGAATTCATAGAATTCCCAATGGAGCTTTTCGAATAATACACGTACCGTTTACGGCCGCATGCCGGGAATATTGTGTAAGAGGCATTCAACGTGAATCACACAAAGCCCTACCTGTAATGGGAATTGTTACACCGTTATTTCTAACGATATTAACTCGTTGAAAAGAGCATTTTTATTTTAATAAAATACTAAATATATAATTTTTCACAAAATCTTCTCAAATTTCTATGCCGGGACAATATTTTTGAAACCCACTGTAGGTAGGATATTACTTTGGTATCTTCGACGTAACAGAGATATATCATCCAGGAATGACTTTAAATACTTTACGCCATATTTGTCGGATGATAATGTTTCAGAAGGAAGTACCAGAACACGTTGATAGCCTGGCGGATGCCTTAGGCAGGATACACCGAGCGTCGAATGGAACTCGCGTCGTCGCCTCTCGCCAGAGATTCATTCGAGCCATCTTCAATAATTACGTTACGCTCGATTACGTTCTGATTGTTCTATGAATATCAAGCCTCGGATAAGCCGTGTTCCCGTATCTGTTCAACGGTTGTACTACATATATTAAGCGTCGATTCGATTGCCACTCACAGTGAGATCCTGCCTCTACTTTCTCCCCCCATCTAGCTTTGCCGCCTCTCTAATTAATTATCAACTTCCTCGACCGCCTTTAGCGTTTCCATCCGTATTTGCTTTAAGTACGCGTGTCCTATCGAGATTAATTTCATACATGCGCGCAATTTGCATGAATTCCAGCCTCATTAACGGTACGCTGTCGATTAAACACACCGGGATGAGGAAATAATCCTTCCGGTTCAAAGCTGACACTGTTTTACCCATCTTGGAATTCCTGGTCCCTCGAATCATTAAATTAAACATTAGGGACAATTGGTGAAAAGTGGATGGGGTGGAGGGGCAACTAAATCTCATGGTAGCGTAGACATAAAGTGTCCATCTGGACCAGGCGCAACAGCTCGTGCGCGGCTCAATAAAGTGCACAGATGTTCGCGCAGCATATGCGGGCGTATCGTTTATTCGAACCGCGGGAAAGAATCTCAGTCAGGTATCTACCGATACTCGTTCGATTTCCAAGGAACACGTCCCGGTCACCGCGCGTATACATCGATGGCAGCGCGGATGGGCAGAGGGTAATGCAAGGCCGTCGCCGTGGTTGGCGCAGGTGGGCGCATGCCACGATGCGCGTGTCGCGATAACGTGGCCAGCTCGCTTTCCATCTCCCCCGACAACTTAATTCCGGTGCCAGCCGGCCTGCACGCCGTGCAGCCGGCTACGAGGAAGCCGGCACCCCTCCAGAGAGAAAGGCCGTTGTAGCCCGTGACGAGCCGACCTGGCTTTCCCCCCTGCCCGTCCGCAGATCGCTGCCTCGAAGAGCTTTACAACCGTGTATCCCCCGACGCGGCTTAAAGCTCAGCGAACAGTACCTACAGGGTGCTTTAAAAGAGGTGAGACGCGATGAAAAGTGGAAATTGCCTGGGGTATCTACACATGCGCCCCCTCCCACTTCGTTGAGTCAATTTTAATTTATTTCACAGAGGGAGGGTGTTTTAATAAAATGAAATTAAAGTATAATCAAGAAATTGCCTAAAAATAAATTTTGGTTAAAAGTTTAAATAAACCCTGAATTTGAAAAATGAAAATAGAGGTTTCAAATTATACAAGAAAACAATGATATGTATCTATAAGTTTTCCACGATATGCTGTGGGAATGTACATAATTTTCCATATAACTGTGCAAACTAAAGCCCGTCACGTATATCATTCCATAGATCATTACAGGTGGAGAATTACTTGTTGTTACGGTTAGCTCGTGATAATTAGTGTTTCAACAGTTGGCATTAAATCCTCCCGTTGACAATGTGCTCGCCAGTTGCCATGGCGCTAAATCAAAGACAAGATGCGCCACAAATAATTTGCCCTGCTATTGCGTTCTCCAAAGTTATCCAGCCACGTGCAGTTCCGCGTGATTTACGTTTGTTCGTGTACTTAGGCAACATTTGCGAACCACCGAATTAATGGTCACTTTTAATCAATTCTTTGCTCATCATCATTCGGAGATTACTTTCATATTAATCGCCTACGTTAATTAAAATTTTTATTTAAAAGAACATTTACCCTGTAAATTTTTCTTTTATTTATACACGAAATTATTTTCTAAATAATTCATCAAATTGTCACAAATGGCATAATATGCTCCATTTTTATATTTATTATTAAATCGTATCAGATTTCCATTTATTTCACAAAAATTGAACGATTCCTATTGGAAAGCAAAGCAACAACTCGTTGGTATTCCCCGAAATCGGTCCGCGCAAACGAGCATGCGCACAGGGTGCGTGCGCAATAGAGCATGCGCGAATGGTGCATGCGCAATAGAGCATGCGCAATAGAGCCTGCGCAAAGGGTGCATGCGCAATAGAGCATGCGCATAATGGCACGCTCCGCGTCCGTGATCAGTTCGGAAGATTGCACCACGAAGGTTGCCACGATAATCATCTGGATATTGCTCCTGCGTACGTTGCATTCGAATGCCGCGTACATCGGCCAATACGCAGGATCAGATAATTGGCATTCAGCCGATCGAGCGTACCCGATGCAATGGCCCGGACCTATCGGCTGCGATCTCTCTTTGGAAAGTGACTAGCCATGGCCGGCGCACGACAAACGTAAAGGGCCAGCGGCACGCACGCTTTAGTTTCGCCGCGTGGGATATCGGCCGAGATAAGACTCGCTTTTCGTATTGTTTCCACTCGTTTGCCGCCCCTTTGTGCCGGATGAACGATCTCAACGTAGACGCGCCGTGCGATCGTTGCGGTTTACTTGAAACGCAGTCTCATGATGAACAGGGAAGTTTGAAGAATCGAGGAAGTCGCTCGGAATATTCTTCGTCATTGACTTCGCTGCTTCACTCGGGATGAGATTCTTCGAGACGTGTCTGACGCTTTTAATATACCTTATCGCTTCTAATGATCACCATTACTCTGGGATAAATAATTCATGTTTATAGGTTAGGTTATCATTTTTAACTAGAAATAACGTAAGATTTAGAAAAGGATTCCGCGCCTTTCGTTTACATTTCGCAGCTAACCATTGCTCTTTCAGTGTCGACGAAACAATCTTGCTTGGCGGCTGTCGCTCATTTAAGAAGGATGAGGCGCTAAGTATTCCCTGCACTCGCCATTAAGCCAGATTAAACAGCTCTCCGCGACAATGTCATCTACGCGAAACGACGTCGAGACGAGGAGTCGTGCCGCGACGAGCGGATTTTGCGTTTCTACGAAGATGCAAGTGTGCGGGATTCCGTATACCACTCGCATCGCTTGGTCCCTTTACGTAAATGTATAATACTCGTTTAAATCAGCGTAGAACATGGAGGATAAGAACCGTCACTGGGCTTGAGTAACGACTTTGTTTTTTGGACTCCTTTATGAATCATTCCGAACATGCTTTTCATGTTTCTGAATATCAATTTTCTATGCAGACGGAGCAACATTTTTTTTTGTACAGAGTGTTTCAGACATAGGTGGATACAGTAAAATTCAAGAAAAATTCAATTTTCAAACAAATTTTGGATAATCTAATTTGATTACAGACAGTCGTTTCAGGAAAGAGCCTGAGTAGAATGCGGAAACCGATGGATCCGCAGTCCGAAGCGTATAAAATGAAACGTGATCTCGGACGTAAAATTTGCACGAAGGTTCCGGACCTAAGTCTCTTAAATCTGTTTGTTGCGTTGAAAGTGAGCACGTTGGTTCGTCCTAGCAACGTAATCGCGTCTTCTCTTAACCAGGAAGTCTTCCTTCTACGCCAAGTGGTCTTAATTTATTTAACCCTGCTTCTACGTTCTCCTTGGGTAACCCTTTACATGTTGTGGTTTGACTAACCACAAATTGGTTTTGCATTTCAGCGACTTTACATTTGAAATCTTATTTAAGTTTAACCACCAATTTACTAGATATTTAATTCTAAAAAGTAATCAACGAACAAAGATTATTCTAAATTTCATTACAACATTTTATCAAGAAATAATGATTTAGACCCTAAAGATCCTAACTCGGGTCAAGAGCTGTACAGTTGATCCGGCCATTTTGAACGAAGACAAGTGGCGCCATCATTTTCCCTAGGAAAGCCTACCATGCCCGATGGTGTACAGGAATTTGTATGAGTTTAAATTCCAATAATATTCAGTAGTCACTGTCAGCTAACTCCCTGTCCCTGGCAAGTACATACGTCCCGAGGAGTGAGCATTGAAACGGTTAATAGAATGAATCGTTGAGTCTACTGGAATTCCATTAGCAATACATAAAAGATCGACTCCCATTTCATCGCGATAACGTACGAGGCTGGAGGGCACTCTTTTCTCAAATGTAACTCCCAGTCGGACGAGCTAAAGTGGCTTGCTATCGCACGACAGGAAACGAGAGAGGAAGCGATCGAACAGAGAGAGAGAGAAAGAGAGGGATAACGAGAGAAAGAAAGAGAGCATCGGAATCGATTTCGTTTCTTCCCGCTGCGCCCTGAATCTCGTAGCTACAAGCCCGCTCCGTTTGAGCTTTTAATGGCCAGATACGGGAGCCAGCTTACGCAATTAAACCGAGACCCGTAACGAGTTTCCACCAACCTGCGTATCTTTGGTTAAGTGAATTAAATCCACTCGGCGTGGCGTGGTCAACTACATGGGCTGAGCCCACTACTCGACAAAAGATACCATTTCCGTGTCACGCTGGACTGATTTGACTTACTACTTGATTTCGTTATGCAAATATATTTGGATGAATCGCAGAGCCGAGTTGGAAGTCGAAATAGGAATAGCGGTGAAAGGTTAGGATCGTCTAGGGTTCCCTAGCATCGCGTCGTCTAGGGGAATGATGATAGTGGCGCCACCACTATGTATAATTTACCTTCAGAAATTCAGGAGCACCGGGAGAAATAATAGAATAAACCTTTTTCCAAATTTGAAAATTCTTAACTAATTATATTAATTTAGTTAATATTCTTTATGATGGAAAATGTTCCCTTCAGAGTACTGTGTTTTAACAGAATAAATTTACATATTTAAACGAAAAAGTTTCATATATTTGGAGAATAATTTTTAAAGGAACAGTACAAAATTTCGAGTACCGAGGCCGTCCGAGGGTTAATGTAAATGGATTTAATTTATGAATAATTTTCATCATTTCTATTCATAAAAATATTATTAAATCCATATTTCTGGAATCAATAAATGAAATTCAACAGAATTTCGCAAAATATTCATCCGAGTTCGTGTAACTCCGTTCTCGTTGTTTTTGAAAATTTCATTAAGCTTCGGTTCGGTGGAAATTCGTTAAAAAAGAAACCATCCATCGAGAATTTAGCCAGCCGAGAAACTGCACAAAGGGAACATCGTACGATCGCACACACGTAGTCGATACGTGTTATTTCCTCGGGATAAACGAACTTTCGAATAACCTCATCCCAGTGTGGACCAAAACGTACGAGCAGAATCCTTTCCGAATGCCGGATATTACAGATATTGGGCCGATCCAGCAAACACGTACCACGATAAAACACATATATCTGAACCTAATTCGAAACAACATGCGTCAGCTAGTGTGCAACAGTTTCCTTTAGCTGGTCGAAGTGCACATGGAATTTGAAGAAGTGGCGTTCGATTATATAGAAGCTGTTCTGACCGGAAATTGGGACAGTATTGTTCCTATAGTACACTTCCAGCAAATTTATGTTAAACTGAATATTTTCCATGTAAATTACTTTGAATTACTTATATTATGACCCCGCTATGTTGAGTGTGCCATCTTATGATGTCATTGGGCTGAAAGGCTTACAAATCCGAATTTTCCAGAAAAATACTAACGATTTTTTATTCGTTCAATATTTAACGTCTAATAAAAATCGTCACGTGTCTCTTACCGATCGTTCTTCCTGAATCATTCAAATGCTTCAACGATCTCTCGAGATACTCCGACGCACGAACCAGCCGGAAATATCAGTTTCCATTCGAACGCTCGGTGGCAAGTGCCCTCCGACGCGTGTTCCAGGTTCTTTTCAGCATCCACGAGCTCCGCCATCGTGCCAAGGGTTTTCAATGCGGCGAAAAATTCGCATAGCTACGCGGTTCTCTGCTGGGTCGAGTATGGTGCACACATCGTTCCGTGTTTTCTGGTCGGTGTGACATTTCCACTCGACGTCAGCTTCCTCGATGTCTCGTCCACACGACCGTGTAACCCAGTCGCCCAATTCACGCGTCCGCGTGCACCTTTCTATTCATACGCTCGGCTCGTACCCGATGCTTGGCGCAGAATCCGAAGAAGTAGAGCGGTGAGGAAAAAGAAATTTAAGAAATGATTTTTCAAAAATTCCTGATATTTTGATTTTCGATATCGAGCAAAAACCTCGGGAAAAGAAATTGAAATTTTCCTTGACAAATTCGAAAAATTGAAGTTCTACCAACTTGAGGAGAATAGAGGATTCCAGAGGAGGCAGTTGGTTCCTTAATGGTACGAAAGTGGAATTTTTCTAGCAGTTTGATACCAGGGATACAAGAGGCTCGTCACGTGCCCGCTTTCCGTCATACGCTTGGTAGTTCTACCTTGGAAGAAAGTTTCCGTCAACGACGGATTCAGCAGCCCTTAACTTCTTTCACGACCCTCGAAACGTATTACCGTCCAGCCGAACTTTCTACCGATAGTTGCGAAAATTTACAGTGAAGCGTGGAATGGTCAGAACGCAGTTGTATTTCGTAAAATTTGCAGTATTTCTTTGGTAGAATAAAAGAAGAAATACGATACTTTGTTTCTTTGGATTAAAATGAAATTAAAATTGGGACTCTCTCCATGGTCCGAGGGGTTGAGTCAAAGTATGTTCAGGCAGAGAAGATATCTTAAGTATTAAAAAAATTTATGCAGCATAGTAGTAAAAAAGGTAGACAGCCATCTTGGGCGATTGCTCAAAGTGCAGAGGAATTATTCTTTTGCTACGTCACCCTCGCGTCTCCTCTCCTTTTTTCCATTCCTTCGAAAAAAGTCTGCTCCACGGGATGGCTTAAAAATTTATGGAATTTCTAAGCGGTTGTATGCGATCCGCCAGCCTCTTTCGTCGCACGATGAACAGCACTTGGTGTTTTTACGCGCGCTCGCATACGAATCTACAAAGCATCCACCTTGTAGCACGGTAGCCAGGAAGCCGGAATTCGACGGACGATGCAATATACGTTGGCGACGGAGATGCCCCGCGGGTTTTGTCTGCGGGGTTGGCAAACAGCATGCATCGAGAATCACCGAGGTAGCTGAACCTCGTTGTTTGACCTACATGAATCTGGTATAACACTTAGGGCACCCTTGTTCGAGTTTCCTTAAACGATATTCAGTAAATGTACCAGGCGACATTTTGCCACTTGCATCCATTGATGGGACTTGGATTTTTGTTTGAGATAGACCAGGTCTTTTGGCTTAAATTGAAATTCTTCAGGTTTCTTTATTTTAACATAAAATCTGTTTTATTATATAATTTATGAAATGAGTTTGTTTATGGAATCACCGTATATAAACGAAACTATAGGGAGTAAAAGGAAAATCATCGTCCACTTTCCTTTTAATTTCTTTCGCAAATAGAGTCGAACAAATCGATGGAAAGACGTAACCATTACGGTGGTCTGTGTTTTTACGAATACAAATTGTACTTCTCTTTACGATCCACTTTCCGCAGAGATGCGTCCTCGGTTGTCATAAAATCTCTCGAGAGTAAAATGTCCTCGTTCCGCTGTAATACCTCTGTTTCTCGCATCAGGACGGACGTGGAGCTCGGTAATTTCCAACGTGAATCGTTAGGGTGTAAAAGAAAAACTGGATGAACCGCCGATTTCGATTCGCGTTTTCGCCCGGAGGGCTGGGATTTTGATTGCACCAGCCGTAAAATTCAATCGTACCGAGATTCCCTGGCAATAACCTACATTTACACATCATAATCCGGGATAATGCTCGCGAGAAGCTACCAGATAACGATACAACAACGTGTAATCAAACGCGATGGAGGATGAGCTACGATGATCAGCTGGTAGGAATGCGAGCAAACCGCAATTTCGTTCATTTTTCTTGTTCTCTTTTTCCTTCAGCTGCTTTTCCCATCCGCGACAACTTCACTTGAAGAAAACTAACGTGTCCCCCCTCGCGATTCGATGCGATCTAAATTGTAGAGAATCCTGGGCAATCTAGGGTTGCTATTAAACCTTGCTGGCACTACTCGTTTGAAATGCGGCTTTTTATTGGTAGATGAAAGATCGGACATAGGTAGATTTTTCAATTATTTTTCAGAAATTTAGATTTAAAAATATTAATAATACCTATGTTTATCTAGTGAATCAATTTATGCAAAGGAAAGAAGAAATGGAGCAACGTTTGTAGAAATAGCTGCTTGTATAGCGACACGTGTTTTTAATAAGAGCACATCAGCATTACCACAGATAATGCAAGGGATAAAAATATCAGTAGGTAGAAATGCACAACAATATGCAATCTGGGAGAATTTGCGACAGTTGAATTTCAGTAATCTTGCCAGAAGATGCAATAAAAGGGAGAAAAAGAACGATATTTTTAAAGCTTTACTGTCTGCTGAACGCTTATTATTAAAATTCAACTTCTATTAAAACAAATGTGGAGATATAAAAAGAAGGAGGGAAACAAATTAAATGGCAAAGCCTTACATAATTAAATTTACTATTTAAATTCTAATTAGAATTTAATTAAAATTCATTCGATTCAATGAGTTTTAATTAAAGCCTCTGATGCTGAATTAATGTTTCTGAAATTATTTTACCATTGAAATCGTGTAAGTTCGACTGTGAATATAAAAAGATATAATGTAAATTAAACAATTAAACACTGATATTTGTTTCTTAATCGAAATTTCAAATCAGTGATCCATATTTACATACGGTGACAATTATTAATTAGTCCTGTTACAAACGTTTGATTAAATTCCAAAGAAAAATAGAAACATAGAATTCGCTTTGCAAAGTCCACAGGTGTCTCGTTATTCGCGCTTAGTTCACAAGTTACATCTTACATCAGCGTAAAGATAAACTCAGAAACTATCCCGGTACGATGTAACATCGCCCGTTTGCATCCAGTTTTCCAAAGTCTGCCGCGTCCCAACAGATAGGGCGGTCTTTCAATTAGTAGGGTCTCCATGGAAGCGCCTCGGTCGTCTCACAGGAAGTCTAGAATCGGATCGCGTCTTCGTGGTATGTAACGAAGCGCACAGTAGACGGTTCAGTAATGATACTGGGCGGCGTGACGAGATTGCCGATGGTATCAGGTGTATCTTCGTTGATGAAGGTTGTAACCTCGGCCGGACCCCATTTATTAAAGCGCGTCTGCTCCGGGCAGCGTGTAGCAGCTTGCCAGCAAGCAATGGCCAGAGTCAACAACCAAGCAACAGTGACTCCAAGTTCTCTGTGGAGCTGTGCAGATTGGCCCACCATTGACGTCGTAGACCTTTAGGACTCTTTCATTCAAACAGCAATCTACTGTGACAAATTAGAAAGAAGAAAACTTAAATAATTTCTATTTTATCTTGAATTATGTATGATTGTTTTTAGTGTTATTTTGGAAGTGTTAAGGCTGCTTAATGAAATTCGGGTCTCCAGTTAATATTCGGGTATTAAATAAAAATATCCTGCTAATTGGAAGCCATCAGTGGTGTTTCATTCGCATCCCGGAAAATTGATTCTTCTGGTGTGAAAAGGCATTTACCTGAGGCTCGAGGAGATTGCAATCAGTCATATTAGCCGGACACACCTGGAATATGTGTGGCCATCTGGCACGTAACTATCCATAGTGCGCAAAGGGGTAACGGTTGCTTGACGTAATCACTGGTATGCTCGGCAGTGTCTACCACCTAGAGAGAGACGGACACTTTCCTCCCTGCCCGTCCGCTTTCAGACACACGATATCGCGGAAAATCATTTTCGAGAACGAGATATATCGCCGTGACCCAGGTGCCAGACGATCGACCACACCTTCGTAGACGTGCTGGCATCCGTTCTATCGCCTGAATATCCGGAATTTTTCCCTGTCGAACCCGGAGATGCCTTGTTAGATGACATTTGAAACACGGGTTTCCACATCCCGTTCTGGCTTTTGAAGGATTATCTTCGAGGGACGTTAAAAAACGTCCGGCTGTCGGGAAATCCTAAACCATCATCGTTCCGACCATTTCTGTACAGTGAAATCAAAGGATTCTGTGAACCATGAAGAGAAAAGGTCCGTATAGTATCGGTGGGTACGGTGGTTGGGTCGTAAAGGAAAAGTTGCTGATTGTGCACAGGATCGGATTAACCCTGGGTTACCAAACTCTTTTAATTGATATTCGATTGAAAAATTCAAAAATTAAATATTTTCTAATACAATGAATGGAAAACTTAGAAAGAGCCCCCTGGAAAATGGGGCCCAGGGCTTAGGTCTCCTCTTGAGCCGGCGCTGAATGTACAGTGTCGAGCATGGTAGTCTCTCCTGCAGAAAATGGCGACGAGGTTTGCAATAATCTTCGAGCTATTCAAAGTGATAATTACAGACAATGTTGTTTAGTTTATTTACTTTTGATATTTGCTTTTAATTGTTCGGTCCAAGTGTCTCGTCTTGGGACGTGTGTATCACCCAAGGACCTTTTGAACTTCATCGGGTTGTTCGTCGAACAAGATATCCAACCGAATGAATGCCAGCACGTCTACGAAAGGCGTGGTCAAGCAATAGTCTGGCGATGATTTATCTCGTGTACGGTCTCGAAAATGATTTTCTACAATATCGTATCTCCGTCCACGAGGAAGCAACTTTCTCGAGTAACGTGACAGCAAGATTTCTAACAGTTACAGGACACACGTCGAGGATACGCCTCGCTCGTAGCAATTAGAGAAGCTAGCCTGCTATAACGTACAGTTAGATCACGCCATAAATGATATCTTCATTATTTTTCATTCTATAGGTGAAATGATAAAATTATTACAGTGTGATAATAAACTTAAATTTAATTAACCATTTCCAGAATCATAGAAACTGCTGTATTGGTCCAGAGATATCATTATTTTAAAATTTATTTAATTTTTTATTATTTCATTGAGTAATTTTCATTATGTTGCAAAATTTACTAATATGGTAAAGTGGAATTTAATATTAATTATTTTGAATTATTAATAAATTTAAAATGAAATATTTGATTATCGATTCCACTTCAAATTTTTAATAATTTTTCTCTCGTTTCTAATTATTCATATTTAATTATGTTTTCATATCATAATATTCGTCTCTCAATTAAAAAGAGAGGAAGTTTTATGAATGCTCGTTACATTTTCGTAGCACTGTAAAAAAGATAGAAAATTTGTGAAAAGGAAAGAAAACGAAGGTATATAGTTATTTATTTGCACATAAAAAGTGGTTTATAAGATACTACACGAAATGAGCACAAGTAATTACCTGTTTAATCATGTCCAGTGATTATCGAGTATTTATAAGTTTGCAGTTAATAAGATGATGGCATTTACTGCGTGTACTTAAATTTTATTCGGATATAAATTCTTTGATACTAGTTACGTGCTCATCAAAGTGTAACATCAAATTGCTTTTTCCCTTCTTGATAAGTATTGATTTTTGTTATTAAACTTGATTCAGAGGTCTGATTTATGAAAGCAATTTTGCTGTTATAAATTTCTAATTATCAATAATTTAAATCTTACAATTAGAAAATCAAAGTATTAAAAAAATCTAAATTCGTTTAACCAAAAAGTGTAGTATAATATTTCATATTTTTTCATCTATTTTCCCGAATTAAAATAATTGTATCCTGAAAAAATGTATGTACAAACGATTTCCTCGAACCGAAATCGATTAATCGTTTAAATCTATCAAAGCTTTCCACTATCTAGCGTCTGAGGTAACCGAATACCTTTATCCAGTGAACGCTTTCTGAAATTTAATTGGACCGATAGGAAAGCACAAACGATTCGTTTGCACATAGTTCGGTTATCGGTGATCGAAGCGATTCCGATGAATCGTACACGATACGGGCCACATTGTAATTAACGTTTCGCGTATAAATGACCGCAACGAATAGAATTGAGCTGTACGAGATGATCCTCCTTGCACGGCAGATTTATTGCGAAAGAAAAGCTGACCGTTTGATCCGCATGAAATTAAATTAAATTTCCGATCTGCACGAACGATGTTACAGCTGGAATTCCATCTTGATACGCGTGTTAATTACCGCAGCTTATCGTTCCAAACTTGGTCATGCGTTTCACCGACTGCTACCTTTAATCTTCCCTTTGGATACTCCTTATTTTTTTATTCGCCATCGCACAGCCTTGATCAGAGAAATCTGACCATCCATTAAAAAATTTTCTAAAACATCGATGAACTGTGCCATCATATATTA